CAGTCTACCGTTGGACTCACGGTCATCTCGATGTTGAATGATTATACTTCATTTTGTCACATTTGGGAAGTTATGATAATCTTTCATTCGGGGACGAGATCGTGTTGGTCGAGAAAATATGTTATGTTCGAGTGGCAATAACAATATCTCACCATTAAGGGCAGCAACGAGTGAGATAAATATCTTTTTGAAAATCTTTAGATAAAACAGCGTTTTCTTTCAGGTGTTCTCGCTTTCCTGTTGCTTGGAAAAATGCATTTACATCTTCGTTGCTTACCCGTCCTTTCCAAAAATAAAAATAAATAAAAATAAAATTGTGAATTTATATTGCGCGGTTTCAATGACGGGATGATCAACTGCGCATTACAACAATGCATGGAAGAAATGGAATAAATACTAATTACATCATTACAACAATGCATGAAAACAAAACTTGCGGTTGGCATTATTCCAAACAACAGACAAACCAAGTTCACTCAGCAAAGTTTGAAAAGGCGGGAAATGTGACGTCCTGTTTCATTTGAAAAATACCCCACTCGGTTCTCGGGGTGTTAAACGAGGGTTTCAGTTCCGGATGATGTAATCTTGCCATTATGATTTTTTTGGTTCACTTCTTTATACTTCGAATCTTTTCCACCCAGTGTAATCCTCCACAAACAGTGGACCACTCTTGGTGGAGCACACCCATACGCTTTGCAAGTAGATGACTTAGGTTTTGTTTGATTGATAAGAGAAGACCGGATAAAGATACCCGATACCGATTATATTATACTGTAAATGACAGAGGAAGTCACTCCCTTTTTCCTTCTCCTTAAAAACCCGAAGGTTGAAGGGATAAGAAAACAGAGAAAAGAAATATCCGTTTCAGGACAGACCTGTTCCGATTTCCTTATACAGTTGTGCGGTTGCGATATATCGTCTCTTGAAGTTTCGTTTTAATTCATTGCTTGCTGAAGAAGATAAATGTCAAGCATTGTACCGCCCTTATATGAAATGACAGCTTCGAAATGTGCGTTTCGTTCTCAGGCGAATGGTGAGACTCTGGACGGAGGATATTACAAGAACGCGAGATTTTGGAATTTATTGGCGGGAATCGGTGTTAGAACTGCGAAAGCCAGCGTGATAACGTTTTCAGATAGAACCGAACTGTCAACTGGGCAAAAATCTCAAGCATCGTACCGCCCCTGTATTAAATAACAGCTTTGCCATGTACGCGTTATCTGCTAAACGGCTACTGATCCTGAATCCACTGAGAAGGCCTTGATTGTTAAGGTAAGAAGCTTGTTAAAAATGCTTTCAGCGTAGCGAGGTTCGTGCGTCATGACCGCGCCCGACCACAGTTAATGAGCATTTTCATCATTTGGCCGTTGTTCTTCCTTTCTCTTCCTTACTTCTTTCAGATAGCATCTCGCCGCGCCGTACGGCTTATTACGGCCTTGATGTTACACTATATAAAAGATGAACGATAGACCGAGTAGTATTTTTTATGTTCTCAAATTATCATCTGGTTCTGGCTTGTTACGCTATCTGGTACGGCTCTAATATGGGGATTTTTGTGCAATGTTTTTTCAATACACGGTTTCGAGGAGATGTAAATGTTATGTTCGAGTTGCAAAAACAATATCTCACGAATATAGGGGCAGTAAACGAGCAGGATATTGTTCTTTTTTGAAAATCTTTAGATAAAGCTGCGTTTTCTTTTAAGTGTTCTCGCTCACTTGTTGCTTGGAAAATGCATTTACATCTCCGTTGCTGCTTACCCACCCTTTCCACAACAAATCTTGCGATATAGCTATCATTCCAACCAACAGACAAACCAAGTTCATTCAGCAAAGTTTGAAAAGGTGGGAAATGTGACTTCGTGTTTCATATGAAAAATACCCCACTCGGTTCTCGGATGCAACAAACGAGTGTTCTAGTTCTCAGTGATGCAATCCCGTCCTTATGTTTTAATACTTTGAATCTTTTCCACGCAGTGTAATCCTCCTCAACCGTGGATTACACTGGGCAGGGTATACCCAGAGGCTTTGCGAGTAGACGACCAAGGCTTTCGTTGATCAATAAAGTAAGACCGGTAAAAGATGTCCGACACCAACTATCGATAGAAGACGTCACTCCCCTTCTCCTTCGAAAAACCCTGAGGTTGAAGGAAAAAGAAAAAAAGAAACGGAAATATCCGTTTCATGACAGACCTGTTCAGATTTCCTTATACGGTTATGCGGTTGCGATACATCATCTCTTGAAGTGTCGTTTTAACTCATTGCTTGCCGAAGAGTGTTATGTCAGCCATTGTACCGCCCTTGTATGAAATAACGGCTTGGAGATGTTTGTACTGTTTTTTAAACGGCTACTGGTCCTGAATCCGCTGAGAGGACCTTGATTCTTAAGGTAGGAAGCTTGATAGGAATTCTTTCTGTGTGGCGAGGTTCGTGCGTTTTGACCGAGCCCGACCAAACACAGTCCATGAGCATTTAATCATTGTAAGGAAAGGCAAAGGTATCGCTCCATTACTTTCAATGGACATCATAAAAGTACTTAAAAATTTTAACTTTGACTTTAAAATCTTGACCTTTAAGAGTTAAACAATCACGCATTTAGGATTTATCAGCGTTTAATGAGCATTACAGTTGTTTACATATGTTGATATAGGAAAAAGTATCAAAGAGTCACCAAAAGAAAAAAATAAATGGGTGGTAAAACGGCATGGAAAGATTGGAAAAACCAATCTGCTTCAAGCTGTTCATTGTCAACCTGTAGATATAAATATTCCATCACAGTATGCAGGTGAGTTCACATTAGTACTTCCGATGGATTAAGTCTACTGGTTTTCGCTACTGGAAAACCGCTGAAGGTTTAATGAACAGTACCTGTTCATTACAGAAACAGTGTTACGGAAGGTGTCTGTCCTGTAGGCACATAACACACATTTAAGCACTTTCGGCTTCTCAAAAACGCGTGATTATTGTATTAAAATCAACACTCGTTACTCAGACCGCACATTTAATATGTGATACGTGGTATTCATTAAGAATCACTATAAGCATTGCATCATTCTGACTACGAAAAAGCATTAGGCTGGAAAAAATGAATCAAATGAAACTGGACAGTGTGGCAGCCAGCTTTAGCCAACAGAACCACCAAGGAGTTCTTGTCATGAAACCAAAACGAAGCGTTCGCGAATTTTCATGGAGGGGTTGTGATTCTTGTCCTAAGGAGACTGTACTTCTGTTTTGATTGGTTGACTACGTCATCAGTGCGTTTGATTGGCTGGGGATTACTCGACATCTGCTTACTAGCAAAGTAACAAGTGACTTCAGAGTCTTTCAAACATGCCTGCCACACATGTCCCCTTAGCGTCAATAGTTATTACTAGGTTACATGTTAAATATGGTATAAGGTTAAATAAGCACACACTGCATTGTAATGCATTACAGTAACTTAAACCTTTTTGACAAATTAGTTATGTCTAAAGAGATACTTTGACATAGATATTTATACTTATTTTAAAATAAAAGGCGTGCAAGAGGCATTTGTCACTCTTTGATCCCGAAGTGCCATGTTAGAACTAATTAATCAACTATCTTGCCCAGGAATCCAACTTACTCTATCTATACAAAATTCAAATAGAGCTACCATTGACGTTTTACGTCTGATAATTATTTGTAATTAACAAAACACACGTGCATTCACTGCTGCGCTGTGATCTTAAAAAGCTGGTGTGTATGTGTTCCTTCAATCCGACCGTACTTTAGCCCAACAAAGTAGATGCCACGATATAAAACTTCACAACAGCAGTCTCACGGCGAATGGTAAAAAACCGGAATATTAAAAAGCGTCTTCAAAATTTGTTGAACAGTGCGTTAAAAGTTTCAGAAATGATCGAATTAAACCTCTTCTTGAAAAAATTCTAGAAACGAGCATGGAAGAAAAATATGCACAATCCATCTATTACCAAAATTACCGAAAGGAACTAAAAGCAGAAAAAACAAGAGACAAAAGAAACAAACTGAAAGCTAAAGCAGATTGAAATTGAGAAAAAAAACTGCTGACCGTTTTTAATAAATAAGAAAGAAAGAAACAAGGAGGGAGTTGGCTGAAATTTGAAGCGAATTAAAGGAAAAAAAATTCACCTTCACAAGAAAATTGATTTGTACTTTGAGTTTTCTTGGTGTCTACTTATTTCTGCAAAATGTGATTGAAAATTACCAAACTAGTGCAGTAGTGATAGATCTTGTAGCATGCGCATATGGAATTAACGCAATTCGTTCGTACCCTATTCTTGATTTCTCCTCTCTCCACCATAGTTGCCGACGCGTCTTCACAGTTTTCTACGTCACAGCTATGTAACATGTTCGTTTTGGCCGTGTGTCAAAGGTGGACCCTTTTGGGTCGCCAAATCGTGCTTTCAAAGAGCAAAAAATGGTCAAGGAGAACTCGCAGGGCGCTAAAGTAAATTATTTTAAATTTTAAATTTTTACAGCTATCAACAAGAAAACGCCGAAAAATATTGTTTCATAGGCACTTCAAGTGTTTTTTCCTCGCTGCCTGGCTAGCGCATGTTGTAGAGCGTCTGACTGCTGTGGGGGAGATCGAAGGTTCAATCCCCAGACCGGACCAACATTGAGGGTCTTAAAATAAGAAATGCTTGTTTTTACAAAGCTAAAAATCGTACGCACACTTGCTTCTACCAATACTAAACTCTTACGGTGTTATAAAAATATATCACGCAAAATTTCTGCTACATTACAACAAATTCTTATGCCTGCGAGAAAATAACTACGAAACATGAGAATTAACTATTAAGGCTACGATTACCATTGTCTTGCGAAACGACTACAGCTCCTCTAACGTTTTGCAACCTCAGTTAAAACTAAAATCCTGTCTCGTTAGTTGCCTTTGCACCATCACCTGTGTTCCCAGCTGAGGATTCCTCCTTGCTGCCAGTGGCAGTATTATTGAGAGCTGGGGTGGTACTGCCTTTAGGAAGCTCAGCGCCTGGTTCTTCAGAATTTCCCTTTACAAACTGGGCGATATCAGCATATTGTGTTTCTACATAAGCCTCCGGCCGTTTGATCGGAGGCAGGGCTTTGGGGGAGGTGGATACTGCAGGCATTTTCTTCATCGAATGAAATTCACCCAAATCAGCGTAAAGAACTTCACTGGGCTTGGGCTTCTGTGGGTAAAAAAAAAAAAAAAAAAAAAAAAAATAGATGATGTCAAGCCTCTCGGAAAGATTTGCTTTCTCTACCTCCCACAAGATGAGTAGAGGTCTATTTAAGATCATGAGAAATTGTGGGAATGGGAGGAAACCGACCGCCGCCCAGTTAGCCCAATGGATAGTACGCTGGACTGTTGAGCGGGAGGTCGAGGATTCGAGCCCCGGCCGGACCAACACTCAAGGTCTTAAAATAATCGAGAAGAATTTGCTACCTTTCTATAACATCAAGAAATGGTTAGATATTCTAGTCTTCTCGGATAGGGACGAATAAATGGAGGTCCCGTCTCCTGCAGGGTTGGGGTAGGAGACGTTAATTTCCCACACACGAGATTACTATGTGATGGATGTCCTCCCCTGGGGTGGGATGGTGAGTTTGTATTGTTGTGAAGGCCGTAAGTTAGATTATATTCTAATCACACTGAAACGATTATAAAATATTTTGTAACTAATCTAAATAATCACAAAACACAGAATAGGAGCGGTCATCTCGATTCAAGTTCAGAAATCGCCGCCGAAAGGTTTCCTTTCGAGATGTTCTTAATTGCACCGTCCACTAAGTCGTGCAAAGAGATGTTAAGTTCGTACTGTACTTTGTTTCCCTTGAAAGTAAAGGAATTTGCAGCTTTCAATTCGGTTTTCAGCTTCTTAAGCTGCGATTGTGTAGTAGCTTCTTTTCCTAGAGATCGCGCTTAAAGGCGGCGAACTTTTGATCAAATTTGACGTCCAAAAGCTGGGAAAATAACCGCAAAGTTTCAGCGTTTGATAAGGACGTATCCGAGGAAGGAGCATTCGGTTGAGCAGAGTCTCCGGCGTTGCTAGTTTCCAAAGACGTGTAAGGGACGCTCGCTGTTTCGGTATCTGACATGGCAAAAAACAAGAGTTGAAAGAGATGCCTCGAATGGCTCTTGCATAACTGTATTGTATTGTATTGTATTGACAGGAAAATTTAACTTTGAAATTTTAGAGGGAGATGAAAGAAAGTAGAAAAATTAGGCACATTGCAGGGCTGCCCGTCATCTAACAAAACAAAGAAAATTTACTTAGTAGAACCAAATTAGTAGAACTACTTAGTAGACCAAATTAGCCAATCAACAGCTAAAGCAAGAACAGTGGTCGGCATACCTTTTTTGATTTCTTTGACGTATCGACTTCAGCGTAGGTGTTATCCGCTTCATTTTTCTTTTTCTTCTTAGACTTGTCCACTACTGCATACTGATCGTCAATAGGCTTCTGCTCTGCAGCTTCCTTCTTTTTCTTTTTACCTTTCTTTTGGGACTTGTCTACAACAGCATATGTAGGCACTGCTCCCAGTTGTTGTTCATTGTCAAGGTCGACTGGAGGCTGAGGTCCTGACATGGCATAATCACATGGTTTACCGTCTGACAGGGTGCCGTGTTTACTGGAACTGACAGAATGGTGCATGTCAGTGTAATGTTGAAATCATCGTGGCTTTGGCCACTGTACTCGGGAAGTTCTATTGCTACAGTAAAAATATCTAAGAAAAGAGTGTTACTTTAGTTTTCCCCTGTTTCTTGCCTTCACAAATAGAGGGATGGACAAGGGAAAACTCCATAACATTCTTTTCTGAAAGGGCTCCTCTCGGCGAACAATGGCAATACGAAGGTCGGGATCTGTAATGGCTGTTGACTATCGTCGATACAAAGACTTTTCACAGTAAACTCGACTTCAGCATAGGTTTTATTAAACCAAACTCTAACCAAGTACCAAGTAACTGAGCTTAGCTGAGTTCAGTTTGCGCCTACGTTACGCGTGAGACACGACTCTTCTATGTTCGAGCTAGGCGCGTTCCAACATTTTCATATAAAAAATGTGGTCAAAAGATTTTGCATTTTAAGCCTTTGAAGGTGATCTATTTTAAAGATTACTATGCGTAAAGCTGTTATGTTTTTTTTTCTCTGTCGATTTGCCTATATCAAAGCAAGAGAAAGGTTTTTTTTCAATCAAAAGGGCATTTGAACGATTTCTATCTCTCCATCACTTTAGAATACTTACAACGCCTGCTCTTCCTCATTCTCGTTGTGAACTGGAAAATAAGTAATGGCAATGGAGTGGAGTCCAGTTCGGTCACTAATCATACGAGTGATAAAGAAATCGGACTTCCGCTGCGCGGTCATCTGATTCTGTTATCACTCTTATGATTACTGACCGAATTGGACGACACGTAGTCATATTACCAACCAGTCATAAATTACAATACCCAAGAAAAGAAGAATAGCCAAGTTACGAAAGAATGAAAAAATTTGCAAAATTTGCAAAGAAATCGAGGTTGTGATTGATAGATTGAAACTACAACTTCGAATTTGATTGGTGGATTTAAACTAAAACTTTGAATGTGATTAGCTTATTAAACTGTCCGATAAAACTGTTAGACAACAATTTGGCTATTGAATCAGTGGAAAATAGGTGTTTTTGAACCAATGACAATTAAGGAAATTGTAATTTTTATGATTAAAGAAATAATAAAACCATCAAACCGTAAAGACGAACGATAAAATCCGACGTTTCGGAGTAGTCACGACTCCATTATCAAGGAAACTATAAGAAAGATCATGCAAATTGCAACATATAAAGCGTTTTTGGTGCGAATAATTAGCATAAGAGGGTGTGAAGATCATAAAAATATTTTAAAATACTTTCGCACGAATGGAGTCTGATTGCACGTTGAGATTTGGCTTTAAAGCACTCATAAAAAGCATTTCGTACACTAAGCAGTCAAATCTGTTTCTGCATTTCTTAAGCACTTCGAAACGCTTTAGGAGGCCCTGGGGCATTGTCCCGTGCATGTTCTTATAGTGTTTGGCAATAGCAGATGATTGTTGTTTATGTCCTTTTACACGATTATGTAAATGTACGCGTGTGTAACCTACATAACCCGCATCACACAGGTCACATTGAAAACTATTAACAACACACTGCTGATTTACAATTGGTGGCTTTGATTCCTTCACATTTAATTCTTGTTCAATTTTTCGGCTCACAAACACAGGCTGGATGGTGGTGTGTACTTTTAGGCTTAGATCATTAAGTTGTTTCCTCACAATATCTGCTGAGATTTGGTCTTTAAATGGTAAAACCACTCGATAGTGTAAGAGTAGACTTGAATTGAATCATATCGAAAATCGCTACAAAAAAAGTTTACTAAGAACTATGCTTGATCGAGCACATTGTTTATCTTCATCTTGGACACATTTTTCCGACAAATGTGACCGTTGGAAAACAGTATTCATACGGTTGAAGTATCCCAAACATCTCGTTAATTCTACCATCAAAAGCTTCGTTGACTCCAAAATTTGCGACCAGCAGCAGCCTTTATCACTATCTCAAGAGACAGACGCCATTGCCAAACACTATAAGAACATGCACGGGACAATACACCAGGGCCTGCTAAAGCGTTTCAAAGTGCTTAAGAAATGCAGAAACAAATTTGACTGCTTAGTGTACGAAATGCTTTTTATGAGAGCGTTAAAGTCAAATCTCAACGTGCAATCAAACTCCATCCGTGCGAAAGTATTTTTATTATATTTTTATGATCTTCGCACCCTGATATGTTAATTCTTCGCGCCAAAAACGCTTTATATGTTGCAATTTGCATGATCTTTCTAATATTTTCGTTGATAATGGAGTAACGACTACTCCGAAACGTCGGATTTTATCATTAGTTTTTGCAGTTTAATGTCTTAAGAAATCTCTTTTGATGCAAAAATAAAACCATCCCTCTATAAACTAGTTAGCCAAATTACAAAATTGCGTTTTGATTTTCTTTTCTGAAACAAATATTTTTTGCCACCCTTTCGACACATGACAATGTGCGCGTTGTCTAAAAGTAAGGCTCAGGTTCCTCGTGGGACAATCATTTAAAGCTACGAGACACTGAAATATCTTCCTGGGAAAACATTACGAGGGGTGTCGCAAATGAAAACCTCTCCGAGCGCCTAAGTGTAAATACGTCCTTGAAAAGATAAAAAAAGCGCCGTGCAAACGTTTCTTAAAGCTAGTCTTTTGATGTCCGACCAGCATAAGATATGTACTCACCGGAATTGTCTTTGCGCCTGCACTTTCTCTTTTTGTGTACATAGTACGCGCCTAACCCGATAACAGCCACAATTGTCACTCCACCGACAGAAAAGACAGCAATCCAAATATCTTTAACTGAAATTAGAAGAACAGAATTAAGTTAAGATATCTCAGGGACAGAAGTTTACAAGGGCGATGAAAAGAAAACCTTATTTCACTTTCAAACTAGTGTGGCTAAAATAAGTAAAGTAAGGCCAAAATTAATGATACTTTGGGTTAAAAATAAGATGGAAAAACAGGGTAATGTGAAAATTTATAAACCCGAAAAAAAAGAAACTTCTACACTTTTCCACCAGAAACGTTGCCAACGACTGTCGACGCACATATCAGATAGGATTTCCACAGACGCGCAAGAGGGGTCGTACTTATCGACACTTATTCAACAAGATCGAATCATACTGTAGAGGATGGTCTCTAAACGGGAGGGCGTTAGCTTTGACGATATATTGTTGATATTTTAAAGAATATTAAGCGCCCGAACCCTTTTTCGAGGAAGTATGGTATGTTTTTATGAATTGAAATTTATAATGAGTTTTTCTGTCTTTTATTAAGAGTGTTAAGTAACTTGGGCACGTTAAAGTTTCTTTTCACAGGATAATTACGTAAGTATCTTGCACGACTTAAAGATTCTCATTTATTGGAATGTTACGTTAAAATCTTGCACGCTGTAAGGATTCTCTTTCATTCGATCGTAACCTTTGTACCTCACGCGCCTTTAGCAAGTATGTCCACTGCTCACTAACTGATATGACTCGAAAATATCATTAGTCGCTACGTTCGGATCGCCACATCTAGTAGTCTAGTTGTGAATTGCGTCTCATTAATGGGTCCTAGAATATGTTTTGAGAGTTGAAGAGGCATAGCGGGTTTGATGAATTTTTTTGTTACCGATATCTACCTTTTCATTCTAAACTTGATGAAAAAAAAAAAAAGAAAGAAAGAAAGAAAGAACGAACTCCGAGTGACCCTAATGAACGACGAAAACGATTTTAACTCAACGAGAGCAAATTTAAAGTGACCTAAAGAAGAAAAATGTTTTCAACGCAATCTGGTGTTCTGATCCTCTCGTATTCACGTGCATGTTTAGAGTTATCCCCCGTTCATTATTTCCTTTGTCCATATCGATTCTTTTCACGTATTAAAATTCAAGGATCACCGCATAGCCAGATTCCCCTTCGAACACTATTCCGACAACCTTTAAGCAAACAGCTGCATATGTCTCGCATACAACGGACAGAGTAATATTTAGAACTGACAGAATATGCGCGCACAACTAAACACATAATAAGTGTGTAAAAATGAATGTTGCACTTTTCCATTTGTATTTAAAAATACAAACCGTAGCTCTTTTAGCGCGATTCTGAACGTTGACATTCACCGGTTTGCGCAAAGAAAGAAATAACTTCTACAGCCCGCGCTTCATGCAAAGTTTCCCTTCCGTACCCCCGGTAAAATTGTCGTTGTTCTGTGCGACATTTCTGTTACCCCACCCCGAGGACTGTGATATTGTCCACATCTGGTCGTCAACGAATATTTTGAATCTCGCGCTCGAAAATTGGCTGAGCGTCGGTTCTTTCAAACCTTTGCTCTAGAAACAAAAGAGCCTCCCAGCTGCAAACAATTAAAATACCCATGAAAGGAAGGTAATCCAGTGTCACTGTCTACCAAAAATTAAACACAAAGTTTGATATGTAAAAGCAAGGGAATAGGTGCGTACGACTAAGATTTTAACAAGCGACTGTATAAGTGTCTAACTGACTGCCATATTTACAACCACCCAAATGACTGCGTACAGCAGACAGAATAATGAATTCATCTAATGGAACGCTTGCGTACAACTTACAATATATCATGTTTACGAACGAATGCAAGATGGGTGCAGAATAGTTTTTATAACTGACTGAAAAAAAGTGCGTACAAGCGATAGCGTGATGATTTAAAGTGACTGCTCGAGGGCTTTCAACAAATCAAGAGATGTTTACCATAACTGAGTCGGTGCAAGCAACTTGCGGAGTAACGTTTACAATCGACTGAAACTGACTGACTGACGTGCATAAAAGACCACAGCGTTATTAAAAAATGAAAGAAATCCCTTTAGTCCATTTTGTGATTTGTAACCAATTTGATGAACAAACACAACCGTCTGGGTCATATGTATTTCACAAAAAAAAACTGGTTCAAATACTTTGTCAGAGGAAGAAGAACGAGGAAATCAATAGCAAGGGTTAAAATTCAATCTTGCCGGTTCAAGCAATAACGGTTTCTTTGCAGCAGTGGTTTGCCTGTTTGGCCGTGTAATCCCTAATGATAACTTTGGCCGAACTTTTTACGATGCCCAATTTACATTATCTACTCAGTTGATAAAACCATAGCTACCTTTGTAATCCTGTAAGTGTTTATCCCTGTTTCATAACCTAGTAAAGGTAATTACACCAAATCGAGGGGAATAGAACTGAGCACTGGTGAAGCGGGAGAACTATCAGAGATATTACAAATGTGACAACCACCCACTATGAAGGTGAGCACCAATACCTCTGTGCAAACAGAAAATTAAAGCAAGAAATTATTGCTAACCAGAATTGCAAAGCTGATCATCATTATAGATAGCCATACACCTCTTCCGATCTGAAAAAAATAATAGAAAAGAAATAAAAGGATTTTTAAAAAAGATTCAAGTTATCTGCTGGGTAAAACAAATACATGAACAATATTTGCGAACGTAAACATCGAATCAGTACATTTTTCAGTCTTGATGCACTTCAGCATGTGCAAGGGAAGACAAAATCTGACAGCCCCGCATGTTCCTCTTCATGAGTCACACTTGACCTACCTGTTACGGCTTCGACAAATGTAATTGAATCAGCATCGACATTGCCCAATTTTCCCTCTTTTGCTGCATCCTTAAGGTATGATGTTGCAGCTTCTACTCCCATGGTTACATTGAAATAAACACCGCAATATACAACCACCTGCCTGCGAAGAAAGAGAATGAAATTGCTCTTGTTTATTACAGAGCAAAGGAATATGGAAAAGCCCCGCAGTTGTCCCCAAATTACAGTAGAAAATAAAGCTTACTTATGCAGAGGGCAGCAAATCCATGGTGATTTATAATCACGGTGTATCATTGGGTTTGAAAATTTGAGGCAAATAATCAAAACAGGCTTCAATGCTACTCAAGATATATCTTTTAACGATGGTCCAGACAAATCAGCTCTTTGAGAATACTCATTTGAAAAACTGCATTAAGTGGAGTAAAAATAAAACCAATGATGCTAAGTTTGATTGTAGAGTTTGGTGGCGATAACAGTACAAACAGGATTCAAAATATACAGGGACGAACCAACTGAAGTTCCCCCTTATGTCAAAATTGCAGCATTGTCAAAGTTGCTTCTTTCGATTCAATTCAGTCCAAGTAATCAAAAACATAATAGCCTCCAACCCCTGGAATCTTCTGCTCTTCAACCCCCAAAAAATAATTATTACATTTTGACAGTTACGACAAAAGTGCAGAAGACCTAAAGAGAACGAATGTTGCTAAGGGTCATAATTGTGATTCCTTTTCTTTTAAACCTAGTGTTACCGCCGCATGGCTGTATTTTTTCTTTTGTTTGTTTTCTCGTTTTTTCCCACATTATCGCATTCTTTCTTTTTTTTTTTTTTTTTGGCCTTTACGTAATCAATATTCTGTTAGGTGTTTTCGCATAAATTTCGTCTCGTTAAGGCCCTTTTACATGCGTCTCTTTTCAGTGGACTTGTACTTTTTCATCGCTACGTTTCATTTATCCAGTTCGCTTACCGTCTTCTCCGTTTTTGATTTTCGTGTTCCTAGCCGTCCTAGTCATTCAACGTTTCTACCGCTCGCTTCGCATCGCTTTTCGCTTATATCGTACATTTCGTGAAATCGATTAAACGAAATGTAGCGCGTTGGACGTTTGACTACAATATTCGTAGAAACGTTATGGATCTAATCGACGGCATTGGAAGCCAACAGGATCAAATTGGTTCGGATGGTGACGGTTTGGAATTTGCGGATGCGGCTCTCGCAACCGGTGTAACAAGGCGGAGGCAGCGCACCGAGAAAGGAAAATCCTTCATAGTTCACCTTTGATGGAAAGACTGTCAAACAGTCGGTAAAAGAATCCAAGGGGAAATTAAGGAAATAGCTTCTTTGGCGACCACCGAAGAAAACGTGGACGTCGTGGAAAGGAAACTGATTGCCCTTCGCGTCACTGTAGAAGAACTAACGAGATGTGTCGCTGCACTGTTGGACGACCTTGAGGACGAAGGTGACCAGCTAAACGTTGCTAGAGATTGGTACGCAGAAAGGAGTAAGCAAATAAGCGATTTTATTGAAAAAACCGTTGGTTGGATTTCGTCTGCTAAAGAGGCCATCGAGCAGAATTTGGAGGTTAGGTCGCGAGCCAGTTCAAAGCGTACACGAGCATCGCACCGTTCGCACGCGTCATCAAGATCCTCGATCACTTCTAGCAGAGCGAAAGAAAAGGCTAAGGCGGCCGAATTGCTGACAAAAGTAGCTATGTTGGAACAAGGGCAAGAGCTGGAGAAAAAGGCTGAAAGGCTACGTTTAGAAGAACAGTTGGCAGTTGCTCAAGTTCGTGAACGCGTGTTTGCAGAAATCGAGAATGGGGCTAAGGAAGATTTAAGCCACCAACCGGCAGGAAATGCATCAGAAGCCCTTCGTGTTCCAGAATTTTCCCAACCAGGTCCGTCTTTTCCGCCTGTGACCAGTCTTTAAACCGATCGAAGCGCAAAGTTGAACACTGTAACGAACGTAAATTTCACTGCGGGTTTACATGTTGACACTCCTATGATACTAACACCTCCTCAACCTACGCGACATCCCACTAAGTTAAACCCTCTTGCACCTGAGTTTCACGTCACCGACTTACGGCCAAATATACAGTTTTGTGACGTTCTTCAGAAACAAACAAGATTAACCGAATTGTTGGCGGAACAACAACAACAACAACAGAGTTTACTTCCGTCGCTCACGCTGACTAAATTTACTGGCGATCCCTTGGAATATTCCACATTTGCCAGAAGCTTTGAATCGCAAGTGGAAGCTAGAGTCAGTGCAAATGGAGCAATAATTGCAAAGGGGAGCCGAAGGAGCTCATCAAAGGATGTCTTCACCTGGATAGAAACAGCGGCTACATAGAAGCTAAAGGAGAAGTATGGAGATCCGTACAAGATTTCGAATGCGTACATTAAGATTGACGAGTGGCCTTACATATGGTCGGGAGATGAATTGGCTTTAGATCGACTTTCTATCTTTCTTGGTCAGTGCCGGAGTGCTATGTCCACCTTAACCTATCTATCCATACTCGACCATCCGCACAACTTGCGAAGCATGGTGTCAAAGCTTCCTTTTCCACTGCAAGACCGGCGGCGTCGAGAAGCCAATAAGAAAAGGCTTGCTAGAGGAACGATCCGTACATTTCATGATTTCGCGAGTTTTGTAAGCACCGAAGCAGGCATTGCTACAGATCCCGTCTTTTCCCGAGAGACCCTTCGTCGCGTGGATTGCTCATCGGATCGACCTGATCGCTCAAACAAAGGCAAAGGTCCTGGGAAGCCTAAGACTTACGGAGACCGTACTCGCGCCCCGCATCACGTCTCCAATCATGCAACTGGTGTAACCGCTGATCACAAGATTGATTCTCGTAACCCTGCCATCACCTGTAAACTTTGCAACAAGGAGGCACGACTTAGATGACTGCCAAACCTACTTGAAGAGATCTTTGCCACACAGGAAAGAATTGCTTAAACAGAAAGAATTGTGCTTCGCATGTTATAATCCGGGACACAGATCCAACGGATGCGCACAAAGTAGAACCTGTCGGCGGTGCTCACGACGTCATCCTACGGGACTTCACGATGACAAGTTTCGCATTAATGAAGTGGCCTCTAAGCAGCAGATACCCTTCGCCTACACAGCTTAAAGATCATTTTTTGAACGCTCAAGCTGAAATGGATGAAGCAACCTGTAATGCCACTGGCACAGAGAAATCTGTTTCCGCTGTGCCTATCGTTCCCGTCAGGCTGAGATCTGCAGAAAGTGAAGTAGTTACGTACGCCATGCTTGATGCCTGCAGCACCAGCTCCTTTATACTTCAAGATATCGTACCCAGCTTGGGTGTAAAGGGCACTGATACACAGCTGATGGTGAAGACCATTAACGGCACCAAATTACATGACGCTCAGGTTCTGAATGGAATAGCCGTTACAGACCTAAAGGGTGACAATACCGTGCAGTTACCCAAGATCTTCACCAAGAACGACCTTTCTACCTCCGAAAACGTTCTTACGCCAGCTCTTGCTCACCGGTGGAAACATTTCAAAGGAATAGAAGCCGAACTGCCACCACAGTTGCCTGATGCCAAGATCGGTCTTTTGATCGGTTCTAACTGTCCGAAAGCTCTCGAGCCTATAGAAGTATTAGCAAGCGAAGATGGTGGTCCATTCGCGATTAAAACGTTTGCTGGATGGGCAATAGTAGGCCCTTTATACATGTGCAGTGAAAGGCATCCTACAGTAGATTGCCATAGAGTTGCTGCAGTGGAAGTCTGTTCTGGTAAACACCTCGATCACCACTTCGTGGTAGAGAACAAAGTCCGAGAAATCGTTACCCCACGAGCGTTGAACAAGATGTTTGAGCTAGACTTCAGTGAAGGAACTAATGACAAAGAACAAGGATACTCATAGGAAGACAAGAAGTTTCTCAAGATTGTTACCCAGGGTACTCGGCGTACAGGAAATAGTCATTATGAGATTCCCCTTCCATTCCGCTGTGATGATGTACGCTTCCCTGAGAACAAGGAGCAGGTCCTTCAAAGAGCACACTGGTTAAGAAAGAAGCTTATCAATAATGAGAAATTATACAAGGACTATGTCAATTTCATGAACAGTATCATTGCCAAGGGATTTGCTTGGAAGGTGCCGTCAGATCGTCTATTTGCAAAGACAGGCCAAGTTTGGTACATACCCCATCATGGAGTCTACCATGCTAGGAAACCCAACAAAATCAGGGTCGTATTTGAGTGTAGTGCCAGGTTCGGAGGAACATCGCTGAACGACGAATTGTTGCAGGGGCCTGACCTGACGAATCAACTCGTGGGTGTTCTAACAAGATTCCGCCAAGGACCGGTCGCCTTCATGAGCGATATCGACGCCATGTTCCATCAAGTCCGGGTACCAGAAGGGCAGCGAGACTTCTTGCGCTTCCTATGGTGGCCTGATGGGGATTTAATGAAGAATCTTGAGGAGTATCAGATGAATGTACATCTATTTGGTGCGGTTTCCTCGCCGAGTTGCTCAAACTTCGCGCTGCGGAGAGCAGCCGATGGTGCCGAGAAGATCGTTGGCCCAGAAACCGCTGACGTGCTGAGGAAGAATTTCTATGTTGACGACTGTCTTCGTACAGAGGAAACTTCGGAGTCTGCTATCCAAAGAGTACGTGGTGTTCGCCATGCCCGCGCACATGGAGGTTTCAACTTAGCCAAGTTCGTTAGCAACAGTAGACTTGTACTAGAAAGTGTCCCAGACGAAGCACTTGCCCAAGACATTAGAACATTGGAGCTAGGCAGTGGTGAACTTCCGCTTGAGAGAGCTCTCGGCGTGCAATGGGCAACCGACTCGGATACGTTTGGTTTCAGAACCATTCTTAAGGACCAGCCGCTAACCCGAAAAGGAATTTTGTCTACGATATCTTCCGTTTACGACCCCCTGGGAATAGTAGCACCCTTTCTATTGATCGGAAAGTCAATACTGCAGGATCTATGTCACTCGAAGTTAAGCTGGAATGAAGAGATTGGCGAAGAGTACCGCGTACGCTGGGAGAATTGAAAAAGCCAGTTACCTGCCCTGGAAAGTTTTTCTATGGAGCGATGTCTCAGACCTGCAAACTTTGGTACAGTTGTCTCTAGACAAATCCACAGTTGTTCTGATGCTAGCTCAACGGGTTACGGTCAAGTTACATACCTCAGAATCAAGAATGAGAAAGGAGATATCCATCGTACGTTCCTTATGGGGAAAGCCCGCATAGCTCCCGTCAAGATCATGACAATTACACGCCTTGAGCTTACCGCGGTCACAGTTTCGGTTAAAGAGGGAGAGATGATTGCAAGAGAGATAGACGAACCTCCTGAGAGCAAGACTTATTGGACGGACAGTACAACTGTTTTGAAGTACATCCGAAATGACAAGAAGCGTTTTCACGTGTTTGTAGCGAATCGCGTGCAAACAATAAGAGATGCTATGAATCCTAACCAGTGGAGGTACGTTGGAACCGACATCAATCCAGCTGACGACTTGTCACGCGGTCTAAAGGGCCACGAGCTATCCAAACAACATCGTTGGATTACAGGTCCAAATTTCTTATGGCAACCTGAGAGCGAATGGCCTCGACTTCATAGTGACTTGGACGATGTTTCCAATAATGATCCTGAGGTTATGAAGGTTCTTGTGCACAGCATGAAAGTTGAAGAGACCGCTGCCCTTTTGCAGAGGTTCGCACGCTTTTCCGAGTGGCACCGCATGAAAAAATGTATTGCCTGGATACTCCGTCTAAAACCAAACTCTGATGAAAGGGCATTGCTTCCAAAAGATAGACAAGACAAAGTGGGACGTACAGCAAAGGTGAAACGCAAACCCCTTAGAGTAGAAGAGCTGGACAGAGCAGAGAAGACCATTCTGAAACTGGTACAAAGCAGTACATTTCCCAAAGAGATAGAAGCTCTGCAGAAAGTTCTACCGGTAGATTGTGAGAGTGACCGCCAGTTCGCGAAGGAAATGAAGTCCGAAATTAAGAAATCTAGTACCTTATATCACCTTGATCCTTTCTTGGACCAGGACGGACTCGTACGTGTTGGCGGAAGGCTAAGCAAGTCACAAGAGCTTTCAGAAGGCTGATTTGTACCTCCGCAAAAGATGGAAACGTGTGCATTATCTTTCAAATGTCTTTTGGTCGAGATGGAGAAAAGAGTACATCCAGAATTTACAACAGAGAGTAAAATGGAACCGCCCCCGAAGGAACTTTGAGAAGGGAGACCTGGTGCTGATCGTGGATGATCGAGCCCCAACAAACAACTGGAACATGGCCCGCGTTGTCGACGTACATCCAGATTCAAGTGGACAAGTCAGATCCTCAGAGTTACCATGGCAACAACAACCCTAGATCGCCCAATCGACAAACTCGTCCTGACACTGGAGAATGAAGACCGGGGAAATCCCAGCCAGAGGAGCCATTAAAAGTAGAAAACTGTTATGAGCTTTAACGTTGAAGAACTGAGATCTTAGGAGTTTTAGTAAACTCTTAGAGGAGCCAGATGTTACCGCCGCATGGCTGTATTTGTTTCTTTTGTTTGTTTTCTCGTTTGTAAGCGCATTTTTCCCTCATTAACGCATTCTCTCTTTTTTTTTTCGCCTTTACGTAATCAATATTCTGTTTGGTGTTTTCGCATAATTTCGTCCCGTTAAGGGCCCTTTTGCATGCGTCTTTTTTCAGTGGACTTGTGCTTTTTCATAGCTACCTTCCATTTATCCAGTTCGCTTACTGTCTTCTCCGTTTTTGATTTTCGTGTTCCTAGCCGTCCTAGTCATACAACGTTTCTACCGCTCGCTTCGCATCGCTTTTCGCTATATCGTACATTTCGTGAAATTGATTAAACTACATGTAGCGTGTTGGACGTTTGACTACAATACCGAGCAACCCATAGTGTAAGAAGCATGGAAATTTCCCAGAGGTGAACTAAAATTCTGGGTTCAACACGCACGGGTCGACATGTTTGCTTCACTCGGTAATGAACTGAACCACATAGCCATTGACATGGTTTAATCAAATAAAACTACAAAATCTGTGGTTGCATAACACAATTTCATTATTCGTTTCAGCTCTGTACGGGGTGGCGAAGAATTTCGAAATTGACGAAAAAATCCACCTGAAAAGGCACTGGGCAAGATTTCCGTATCACCCCATACTTCATTAAGCATTCAATTCTTGGATAAAAGAGAGCAGAGGCAAACCAACAGATTTCCTTTAGGACTACGACTTTGTTTTTGATTGGTATGGGGTTAAACGGAAATCTTTCCAGGCGCTGCACTGCCATCTTTTTTTTGTGCATTAATTGGTATCCTGCAAGCAGGACCGCATCTTTAGCGCTACGGAACGCGCATTCCTCATTTGGAGAGGGTCAAGGAGAAATTTGTCGCCCACTAAAGGCCTCGCACTCCCTGCGGGTGAAGAATGCTCGTGCCGAAACGCTAATTAGGAGTGTCTGCTCTCAGGTAGAGAAATCGATGGGAAATTAACTGACATATATGAAACAAACCTGTTTTCATTCGGAGAAATTATTTCCACGACTACACGTTTGGGCGTGTGGCACTCCGGAAAGGCTTCCTTGACCTGAAATGATGGAAACAGTTATGACACGTTATTGGGTTGTGAGTAATCCCCTTTAAATAACTCTGTAAAGCATTTAATAAATGTATTTACATTGGGCGGAACTAAAAAGTAAGTGGTAGTGACAAAGAATGTAAATATTTTACTATTGGCACGTGGGCCGCTATGGCGTTAATTGAGTCTTTTGTTGTATAGCGTATTTAAGGTCTTACATCTGTTATGTATTCATCTCAGCTCTTGAACTTTTCTAGTTTTACGTTAAATTTTATCTTGCATGTACTTAGGCTAATTTACCTCTAACCGCCAGAGGTTGATGCGCTTGCACTTTGATGGGGAATACGTTCCCATTTTTTTCAGGTTTTCGTATCAGACGGCGGCACAAAAACGTTTTAGCCCGAGAGGTGATGACTGATTATTCACTATTCTGTGTAACTTTGTCGGGCGGCATTAAATACTCGGGCTCCTAGTTCGAGCTGTACACCCACTCTTGTGTAAGAGTCGTGAATTTAAATAGGAACAAGAGCTATTGAAAGAGAACTGTAACGTTTTACATCACCGGGATGTAAAATACGATGTTGTTGCCATGATACTTCTAAACAAAATCCTTTTTTTGTTCTTCTCGTTTCACTGCAACTCAAATTTTGCTACTCGAACTTAATCTCTGCGAACATTAGCTTTCTATTAATAATTAGTAGAGCAAGAAATGACGTCCTTGTGATTGTTGAATGTTGTTCTTTAGTAATTTACACGAAATCGAAAACAAATGTTGTGATTACTTTTCGGACCTATCAAAATAGAGGTAGGTTTTGTAGTGCCAATGTTGAGGGACAGCGTACAGGATAGATGACCGCTTACATAGCTAAGAAGGAAGTGCTTTTCTGAGATTTTTTGTAGTTGTCAGTATATGAGTGCCGACATGTAAATTGGAAAGATGAGTATAAATGAATTTTCACTAACTATAAAAAACAAAACCTCAGGCAGAATGGAGCCACAAAAGCAAATAAAAAGCGGAAATTTTAATTTTGTAACTCAACATATTAAATGTTTATGCGAAAGGGGTTTAAGCAAAACCACGCGAAAAGTAAGGTGCTATTAACGTTCCGAGCGCATTCAAAAGTGCCTGGTTGATCATTAGTCTGAAAAGAACTTCTGACCAAAAAATTGCCTACGTTTTTGTCGCGTTTGAATGAAATGAGCGGAGGCTGCGAAGATAGTGCTTGTCTCTGGATCGTTTTGTGGTAATTTAAAGTTTTTAAGAATGATGGATTTAACTGAGTGGTTGTGAGGGTGAAACGTGAGAGTGAATGGAATGCGGTCGGAATCTTCCTTT